CTCATCAAAATGCATACGGCTCCCCCATATATTACACGGCATAATAGCCTACAGTACTTCATAAATTACCCAGTCTTTCAATGAAGATGTTTGCTATACTTAGTTTTAACTAGCAAAGTTTGTCTAATTGAAAAGAAACAAGTTCATAAAACTCAAAACAATGAAACAATTCAGATTACTTAATATGTGTCAGTTTGGTGAACTCAAAAGAAAAAGAAAGTTCTAAGTTAATTTGATTGAACTAATTTGTTGAATTTTTTTCAAATCAAGCACTCGACTTTAATCAAGGAATTGTGACAGACCTAATTTTGAATATGAATCATGTTGATCATTTGGTTTTCACTTTCTTCATTCTAGACGGCCATTATGTCATGAAAATAGCCTATTCATGTATTGGAATGCTCAGGTAGGATGAAGATGTATAGAAAAGCCTTCTGTGTGCGCCCTCTTGACTTGAGCATTTGCTTGCTTTCTTCACTTTGTTTTTCTTCTTGTGCACTGGTTCGCTAAGCTGAACTGGCAATCAGAGTGGTCTCTCTCACCAACGGCTCCGACATCGATTCAACAAGCTCAATCGGCCTAAAAGCCACACACAATGCTCCGACTAGTTCCAATTATGTGGAACACACAGCAAAGACTGAGTTGACAGATGCTTAATGGCCCGATATTGGCCAACGGCTGACCAATGGCTTGGTATGTTATGGCCTTTACAGCTCTGTGTTCTATGAGGGCTTGAAAACGTGAACATTTGTTCCAAAGGTTAAAAATTACATTAAGTACCAAAAAGGACCATTACATTTGTGACTCCAGACCCAAAATTGTTTGATCCCCCAAATGTTCAAGATATAGTTGTTGTATAAAAACAATATCATTGGCAAGTGTGTGTAATGACCATATATCAGCATGGCTGATTCTTGTTAATGTGATTTTGCTTTAATATAAAGAGTTTACAAAGCATTTCACAGATTAGAAAATAAGAAATTAATTTTTAGTTTAGTTAACATGCATTCATCTCTTTACCTTATATCTCTTTTGTAACTTCATTTTCGATTGCTCCTAAAACTGTTGCTCTGTTTATTTAAATGTACTACTACTTAGAGGGATTTGATTGGAGTAACTTGCGAGTATGAACGTTTTTTAATTTGTTAGGTAAACTCACGTTTTTAGTCTATTTCAGTTCACAGTTCACATGAGTTCACACTTACATACAATTAGAGGGAGGAAAGATTAATGCGTATTTGGCGTGCTGTCCGGGGGGAGGGCTCCGAGCTCTGAGTTCGGCCCGAAGCCAGTGTACTCCAAACCCCCCCCCCCCCCCCCCTGTATGTAAATGTTTAGGAGTGGAGAAGGAGGCTGAACTATCAACGAATTGAGGTGTCACTGCTGAATATATATACAACTCTTATCGTTGATTGCTGAGTGCTCTCCACTCATGTTAATTATCTGAACATGCTCCTCCCGAACTTTGTTAATAAAACATCATTTTTCTGTTAGTCAATCTGATAGCTCCATGCTAATAACCTCTATTTAATTATTTTTCTCACTTACACTCACCTAAAGGATTATTAGGAACATCATACTAATACTGTGTTTGACCCCCTTTCGCCTTCAGAACTGCCTTAATTCTACGTGGCATTGATTCAACAAGGTGCTGAAAGCATTCTTTAGAAATGTTGGCCCATATTGATAGGATAGCATCTTGCTGTTGATGGAGATTTGTGGGATGCACATCCAGGGCACGAAGCTCCCGTTCCACCACATCCCAAAGATGCTCTATTGGGTTGAGATCTGGTGACTGTGGGGGCCATTTTAGTACAGTGAACTCATTGTCATGTTCAAGAAACCAATTTGAAATGATTCGAGCTTTGTGACATGGTGCATTATCCTGCTGGAAGTAGCAATCAGAGGATGGGTACATGGTGGCCATAAAGGGATGGACATGGTCAGAAACAATGCTCAGGTAGGCCGTGGCATTTAAACGATGCCCAATTGGCACTAAGGGGCCTAAAGTGTGCCAAGAAAACATCCCCCTCACCATTACACCACCACCACCAGCCTGCACAGTGGTAACAAGGCATGATGGATCCTTGTTCTCATTCTGTTTACGCCAAATTCTGACTCTACCATCGAGACTCATCAGACCAGGCAACATTTTTCCAGTCTTCAACTGTCCAATTTTGGTGAGCTCTTGCAAATTGTAGCCTCTTTTTCCTATTTGTAGTGGAGATGAGTGGTACCCGGTGGGGTCTTCTGCTGTTGTGGCCCATCCGCCTCAAGGTTGTGCGTGTTGTGGCTTCACTAATGCTTTGCTGCATACCTCGGTTGTAACGAGTGGTTATTTCAGTCAAAGTTGCTCTTCTATCAGCTTGAATCAGTCGGCCCATTCTCCTCTGACCTCTAGCATCAACAAGGCATTTTCGCCCACAGGACTGCCGCATACTGGATGTTTTTCCCTTTTCACACCATTCTTTGTAAACCCTAGAAATGGTTGTGCGTGAAAATCCCAGTAACTGAGCAGATTGTGAAATACACAGACCGGCCCGTCTGGCACCAACAACCATGCCACGCTCAAAATTGCTTAAATCACCTTTCTTTCCCATTCTGACATTCAGTTTGGAGTTCAGGAGATTGTCTTGACCAGGACCACACCCCTAAATGCATTGAAGCAACTGCCATGTGATTGGTTGATTAGATAATTGCATTAATGAGAAATTGAACAGGTGTTCCTAATAATCCTTTAGGTGAGTGTATGTCTCCATCCCAGTGAACAGTAGAATTCTGCTGAGGTTACTGTGGATCAGATGTCATCCATTAAAGTCCTGGAATAGACTCTGATTAGTGCTGAAATACTGTGTAAAAACTGCGTTGAGATTCTAGTTAAACAATTCAAACATTTTAGGTTTAAGAGCTCAAAGCCTAATTTTCTCCTATAGTATGTGACACATTTACCTTGTTTCCTGTATGTGTGGATTCTATGGAGTGGAATCTCCAAATCAATTAATATATAAAAAATGTTTACACCTTACCTGGTCACATATGATTATTCTAAGTGGTGTATTTAGTCAGATGTGGTGATTTCCAGAAGGACTCATAATAGTACCACATTTTTTAAAAGCCTGAGTTGATTGGCCACCTTTAATTAGGTTATTAATTTTAATGGAAAATGTCTTATCAAATGCAATATTTAGCAGCTGACATGCACTGGGCAGAAATGATTCATCATGGATCATCATGGATCAGATCATGGTTTCGAGTATCAATATATCTGCTCTTTCCACTGAACAGAAGAACGGGCAGTAATCTCAGACAACTTAATCCATATATTTTAATAAAATCAGCAAATTTATTTGAAGAACCAAATTAGCCAGAGAACAGTTATCACGATTAGAAGATCTGGTATCTGTCAAATCATATCAGATGTATTAAGCGGGGTACAAAGAATGGACCCCTGTTGATTTAAGGGGCTATTTACACGACAAGTAAAAACAAAAAACTTTTTATGCGATTTGGTCGTTCATTTACACAACAACAGCGTTTTGGGGACCTGAAAATGCAAACTTTTGAAAACGGGGTTTCAAAGTGCCTAACCCGATATCGTTATAGTCTCTGTGTAAACCACAAAAAATGTGAATTTGCGAAAACAGTGACATCATGCGCATGCGTATTAGATGTTTAGTTTACAGGCACTGTATTTGTTTCTTTGCAAAGTGGCATCGCCAACTACTGGCTTGGAATGCAAAATACAGCGTTTTTTTAGTCGTTTTCGCGTATCATTTTGACAACATTGTCATCTGGATGCAAAACTTTTCAAAAACGCAAAGGAAAGACTTTTTAGTTTTTAGTGCATCACTGTCGTGTAAACATAGCTACGTTTTTCTTGGCTGATTTAATGAGCATTTCAAATAATGAAGACCACCTCAGATGTCCTCACAAGATAGTTTTCAACATGCTTCACTATAATTGTGAGGATTTTCAAAAATTCAGTATAGCCAAACCCATACACAAAGGTTTGGTAGCCTAATTACGGACAAAACTTCACGAGTTCACAATTACAAATAGACGGAAAGGGTAAAAGAGTATGCTTATTTGGAGTGCTGGCAAGGGGAGGGCTCCGAGCTCGGAATTTGGCCCAAACCCAGAGTAGGCCTACTCCCCCCGTATGCCTGGCTGAAACAGCCGAGAGTGAGGAGTCGGGGTGGCGGAGGGATGCAGAAAACTGTCAAGGAACATAGGTGAGTCGACTGTATATATTGGCCTTCTCTTGTGCGAATCGAATAGATCATTTTGAACGTGTTCCTCCCAAACTTTGTTAATAAAACATAATATAAAAGTTATTTATCCTTATCTTTCATACTGTAATATATTTTAGTCCTCCAGAAACACTGTGATGATTGCAAACCGATCATATCATAAATCTCCCTTATTATTTTAGAAACAGATTCTTACTTTTTATGACATTAATATTTTTTAATAATGTGTTTTCATTTATACAATCTGATTTTGATATTTGTATTCAATTCTGTATGTTATTTTTTCTGTATGTTATCTGTTTTCTTCTATTAATTCAAATTAAATGTTGTTTAGGTGGATCTAATGATATTTTTTTATCCCCTAACTCCAATCTCACAAACCTTTTCTGCATTTTACTATTTTGTAACTCTGGTCCCCACAATATAGGCAAAACCTTACACACACAAACACTCGCATGTACTCAAACATACAGAGAAAGCTTCCGAGTATGTTCCCTGTTCCATTTATCAGGAGATTCTCTCTGACTTTTTATCAGGATGCACAAATGGCTTGTTAGCAGCCAATCATGCATGCTGTAGTCATTTTAACCACAGTAAAGCTCGTTTACAAACACTCTTGTCTTGCAGTGCATGAGTTTTTTTTTCCAAGTGAGGCATGGCTTGATGGATTGATGGCGTGACGTCAACACACAGTTACCTTGCCATGAGGGAGGGGGGGAACTAATCTGTGTGTAACTGTGTATGTGTGTGTCAGGAGAGAGAGAAGGAGAGAGACGCGTTAATCTCCAGGGAAATGGGCACGTTTGGAATAAGCGGTACCAGTCAGCAAGCTCGCTCTAATATTCCAATGGCTGTGGGAGAAGTGTTTCCAGAGAGAGAGAGGGAGGGAGAGAGTGAAAGAGAGAGAGGGGGAATATGAGGGCAGTACTCAGGATGAGCCTGCGCTTTGAGGCTGTAAAACACTAGACCCTGAGGGCATTCTCTGAGGTAAGCTCCGTCTCTCTCATATTTTAACAAGATTTGACGCCACAGTGTTAAACTACGGCGCGTCTATTCTTTATGTTTGTAAAGTAGCGCGCAGTAATGGTGAGTCTCTTCGCGCTCCTCCATATAGGCTACTTGCGCTCTGGTCTGTCAGATGACGATTGCGCTTAAACCGGACCGGCTTCACCGTGAACTCTCCTGAGGTAAATAGGCGTTAGAGAAGAGTAGTCTACCTGAAGGTAGGGTTTAACCAGGGTTATCGCCGGCAAATTGTATTAGTCAAGACCTTAGAAAACGAGTTCAAAGCCGTCTTCATGAGTCCTTTCCGCGTTTTGACTGAAGTTTATACATTCTGCTAAAGATGTGTTGAATAAAAGAAATATATGCTATAACCTTCTCACTTATTTCCTCTAGTAGGCTAGTATTTCTTGGCTTCCTTGTTTCAGCTGGCTGCAACTATTTTGAGATCCACAGTAGGCTACACTGACCAAATTAAAGCAGCTTCACGCAGCAAATTACACACTGAGAAACTGATTTTATTTCAGAGACGTGTGTGTGTGTGTGTGTGTGTGAGAGAGAGAGAGACCTACTTTATGAGGGGAGTTAAATAGGTTTGTTAAATGTCACACCACAGCCGCTTTTACTGTCACCTCCTAATAAAGCAACTATTGTATTTATAACAGTTTTTAAATACGATCTCACCTACATGGAACTTGCGTTACATCCTGAAGTTTTGTATAGGCGACGGAAAAAACAGTTCATTTGCCGGATTATTGCGCAAATTTTAGTGACCGTGTGACTTTTACAGCTACCGGCTCGTTTTGGGTGAAATCGGTTACCATTGTTATAGTAGCCTAAACTAGTTTCCTGTGTTTATAATGCACGAAAAATATGTCTGTTCTTTAGGTTTCTGACAGTGTGTAAAATATCTATCTATCTATCTATCTATCTATCTATCTATCTATCTATCTATCTATCTATCTATCTATCTATCTATCTATCTATCTATCTATTTATATATCTATCTATCTATCTATCTAGGCTATCTATCGAGTTTTTTTGCTGTATGGGGATGGTGTAAACTCTGCTCAGGTTAATTTAAATATGTTAGGCTAAACATCTTCATTTAGCTAAATAATAATTTAAATGTATATCATGTCTCACCATCTGTCTCCAGTGACTTTACTTCATTTCATTTAAAGACTGACCTTCATTGCAGCTCTCCCTCTTCAGAAAACCTGACTGCAAGAGAAAAGAAAAGTGAGGTGGTATCTGCCGTCCAGCTGAGATGCGGGGACACTGACGGCCCTGCCCTGCCCCGTCTGTCGAACCGGACCAATGATGATAATGAACACGATGATGTCCACACGGCGCGTGTAGGGCTAAATTCACAACTACCGGACTCTTACGAGACACTCCACTTTGATCCGCGCTCATTCAAACTTCAGATGGACTACATTCACCCTGCACTGACCAGTAAAATGAATTGGATCACACTACTGCTGGCCGGCTTGACTTTTTGTGGCAAAGTGTCCGTGCACAGCTGTTTAGATTATGATGACAGTTATGATTATTATGAAGAGGAGAAAACAGAGACGATAGACTACAAGGATCCCTGCAAAGCCGGTAAGATGCGTTTTTATGCAATTTGTCCTAGCTTTTGATGTGTTAACGCTTTTTGTGAGGTGATAAAAGGATACACCACACCTTATTTGCGCTTCACGCGATGCTGCATGGTGATGAGTTGCTGTGCATGTTATTCCCAAACTTTATTTTATTTTATTTTCTTTACGCGGAGACGCGCGTCTCGCAGAGTCCTCTGGTACCAGAGCGTCAGCGACGCCTCTTTATTTCTTTTTTCTTTTCTTTACTTTTGACGTAGAAATATCTCTCACCGACCCTCCTCCTCCGCTGATATTATCTAGCCCGCTTTAATTCGGTTTCTCCCGCGGCTCGCGGGGCCACGTGCGCTTCTCTGTCATAAACCCGTGCTATCCGCGCGCACGTTTGTCCGTGCAAGTATGAGCGCGGCTGCACGATTTACAATATCTTTTATTTAATTATTGTATCAATCTAGTGATTGTGAAACTGAGTTCACGCAGTCCATCTGAACCTTTATTTATCATGCTGACAGCTGGCTGGCAAAGTTTATTGACTGACCTTGTTATTGCAATAAATATCTTAAGTTATTATTATGTAAGAAAAAATAACGAACAAATACAAGTAATCCGTGGCTTTTATATGCGTTTAATAAATATTATTATTGCGTTTTACATTTGTGTAGTGTAATGATTATAGATGTAGTGGGATTGACATCTATAGATATTTTAATGAAGGATTAAACTGTAAAGATTACAGACGCACAAGATTACAGGGAAAGTGTGTGTATGTAGGCCTATATAGAGTCATAGGCATGTTTATGTATTTGTATATTTATGTTGACACATATTCATACAGATTATCATAAGGCCATTAATATGATTTGTTTTTCACCCTGTTCTCTTTTGGATGTGTAAGTAAACTCCACCTAAGACAGAGCAGATGTTTAAATGCACTGTCTGCAGTTATATTTTGTAAAATTGCTCTTCTTCTCTCTCTCCAATGCAAACACACAGATTCACTCACAAATCTCCCTCTCCACATTCTCTCTCGTTTTCCTTTGTGTATATATCATGTTTACTCAGGAACTATAAATCTGAACATTTGTTTCTCTGCTGCAATGTGTTGGCATTGTTTCCAGGCATTCATGAGACAGATGCATGTACACGCAGAGGGCATATATACTGTACTATACACACAAGTATGGATTACTTATTAGAATGAAAAAAAGCTTGGTATTGCAAGAGTGTTTGTATGCGTGCAGTGTGTATGTATGTTTGTATTAATGTGTCTATGTTTGGGTGTATGCATGTAGGAGTATGACTGTTTGGCAGTTACAGGGAGGACCTCGGTTTTTCCAAACTGTGAAATATTCAGCCCAGAAATTTGACAGGCTCGTTGATAGTAGTACTACAGGGAAAGGGTGGAATACATCATCACACAACCTTTACGCACATGCATAAATAAATAGACTTAGAAAAACACTTTTAATCTCTATTACACAGAGATTCTGTCAGATTTATGTCACATATTCAGGCGATCTTAATTCATATTGTTAGTACTAGTAAACGACAGCTTGTACAATATGTATTCATGAACATGTACGCAGCTGGCTCCCTTATACATACCAGTGTACAGTCAAGATGGCTGAATGTCCTACTCAGGATAATATTTCATATATGGTTAATGTGCTATCACAAGCTACCATTAATATTCAGTCTACTTTTGACAATGGCCCCAAGATAAAACAGTGCTCTAAATGTTAATATTAAAATGAAAGTTTTAACAGTTGTAGTTCAAAATACGCAACTTTATATGTAGTTGCTACAGTCGTGATATGCATTAGTGGAAAAGTTTGTTACAGTTACAGTGCTTAAAGATCTTTGCATCATACCAGGTGAAATGCTGACCGTCCAAAAACTGTCCAGGTCATTGAGCGTGTTCGATCCAGCTCTCGCCACTCTCTTAGCTGATGGAGCATTTTACCTACGTGTTCGCAGTGTAGACTTGCATTAGCATATCTGCAATGTGTTGGTGTGTTAGCAGAAATAGCCATGCTAATTAAATATAAGGTGTCAATGGGGGGGAGCCTCTGTGCCTTTCAGATGAATGGACCCAAATTTAGCTTAATTGTGTACAGGCTTAGGGTATTAATCATTGGTCAGAAGTATTTGACATAACACACACACACACTTTTGCTTAAATATCTTTTTCTCGTTTGTGTAGACTAGGCCTAACCATACCAATAAAATTCATGTTTTGGCACTTATAAATTAAGACATTATTCACTTCCTTAATTACTATATGGAAGGGTTTGGTGATAGGGCTGCACGATATATCCTTTTAGCATCAATATCGTGATGTGCACATCAGTGATAGACACATTGCAGGAAGTGCGATGTCAAGTAAAGGGATCGTCGTTGATATGTGATCCATACGGACCAGGCCCCACAGTTTCAAATGCATGAATGCAAATGTTTAACCGTCATAGAGCGAAAGTTTATAATTTTTTATCACGTGTTTTAGGTACTGTCAGTTTAAACATTCAAGCGATTTTAAATCATTTGAGTGCAAGAAGATGCAATTTCGAAACCCGCTCGCTGTTTTCTATGTGCACATACAGAGCCGAGCACAAAGTACGCGAACACCAAATTCTGTTCTTTTTCGCATCTGTTTGTGCTTGAGTGGACGCATGCATGGAAAATTATGTCAAGATGCCTGTCTCGGATAGTTATAAACATAGTCATTATGGCTCACGTGAACGTAAACAATTGAGAAAGAAAACGGATGCGTATCATTATATTGGATCCGTGCTTTATCTCTTAAAGTGACAGCCGCATAAAATTCCTGCTGCTGTCTGTCATTAATTTTAATCATACAACAAAATACAAAAAGAAAATTACTTTTAAATTGCTTTAACAATGATTAAATATATTTTACTTAGGGCTGCCCCTTAATAGACGACTAATCGTTAGTTGACTAGAAGAGGCTTAGTCGACCAGTCTGTGCGGGACAGATTGTTAACGGCGGTTCCTTGTGGTAATTACAGTATGTGCAGGAAAACACAGATCCCAAATATGGTTTATCATTTGAAACATGTATAAGCAACTTTACATGACTTCTGGCTTTAATGTTAACCTATATAAATGTGCGCTATTATAAGGCGCATATTCAAGTGTTTGTGCGGAGTGTTGAAGCTATTATCGTGCTTACTGCATGACGGCACCGACTCGATCAATTTTCATTTAACTTAAAATACTCTATCATATTTTTGGTCTTACATCAAGAGTAGCCTAATACGTCATTCAAAACTGACAAATTTTATTTGTGTGCACTCACAATAACTAAACGTTGTGCTTTTGTAAAATATAGAAAACAATCAGGATGCGCTTTCTGTAGCCTCGGTCTCTGTGAACTTAAGCGCGTCAAGAAATAAACCGGAACTCAGCGTGAACTTTCCTCACAGACATGAGAAATACATCTATCGAAAGCTTGAAATTTCTATTCTTAAATGAACCGATTCAAATGGAAAACAAATATTCTCAGATTATGTTATGAAACGTCCAAATAGGTGCGTGCACTACTGCAAAGATGACGAGTCAGCATCTTCAACTTCATCACTGCAGCTGAAAACACAGAAACTGGTTTATCTATAAATTATTAAAATGTTCAATCTCCTTGCTGTTTTTTCACGACACATTCATAATCATTATACCTTTGTCGGTGCGCTGTGGAATGCTTTATGCGTGAGCTTGAGCGCTGATTAGGCTTTGTATAGGCAATTAATGGCTAATTATTATGATTTGGCTTATTGATACACTTGAGATTAGTCTTTAGTCTTTTAGAAAAATCTTTAGTCGAGGGCAGCCCTAATTTTACTTATATGGTGAAGACTAAGCAATGTTATTTTTACATTTGATTATTCAATTTCTGTACCTGAATACTGTTAGACTTACCTGAAAATTCTTTATTTCATTTGTATCTTTGTTCTATTGTATTTATCAATGCTTGTAATGTGTTTATTATTTTTTATGCAGATTCACTTTCTACAAAATCACCCCATTTTCCATTAATTCTTTCCAAAATAGAGCTATTTAGGTCATCTGTTGAAATTTTTCCAATGTAATGCAGCCCTATTCGGTAAGGCAAGTTTTTTTGGTTCAGTATTGCAGTTGTACATATTTAGAAATTTCAGCCAAAAGGTTGCAAAACCTGAAACACATCAACATTTACTTCTGTATGTTCAAGGTGTATCACCTTCATGAGTTTCTAGTAATGGTTTGTTTTGGTTGACATAACAGAAGACTATTAGCTCCATTAATGAGGTAAGTGCATTGTTTAGGACTTTGGTTCGTGTTTACAGAAACCAGGAGCTCTATTGGTTTCAATAGGTCACTAAAGGGCTAGTTACATTATATAGTCATTAGGTGATGTTATCTGTTTCTGTTATCTTAAGACATTGTAAACCTAACGACACTGTTGCCACAGAATAACCAATCTTTTCTGATTATGCAAATTTAGCCCACGCCTCCTTGTTTAGGCAAGAGAAACATAAACAAACCCGAGGGAGTATACCTGGAGTGTATGCGGACAGGCTTAGCTTAAGGGGTAAACATGCAAAAAAAAAAAGAAAGAAAAAAAAAGCTGATGTGCGTTTTCATATCGAGCCAACAAAGCTTTATTGGCATTATTGTCAGCATTTAGGATGTTGCCAAAGTGTTTACACAATACTAGTAGTGAAATATACAATACAGAAAATAAATAAAGTCAGGTAAATAAAGTAATATAATAAAAGAGTAAAGAGTAAAGTGCAAAATAGAATACGATAGAGGTACATACAAAAAGCTGTAGTAATGGATCGCCCATCACAACACCCACTAAAACTCTATACTATAATATTACCCTTTTTTTCTCCTTTATATTGTTCACTTGTAATGTTTGCAGCTCCTCTCAGATAACTTTCTGCACTTCATTCCTCACTATATCTTCATTGGCTACACATTCATTTTTTCCATTAGTTTCATAGA